TTGATTGAAATTATATTAACTTTGGTTAATGATAATAGCCTCAATTAATTTGATGAAATTAATTGAGATGATCTATGCAAGATTATATTTGCATAAGAATGTGACAAAATGTGATTTAGTTTACTTTAGAAATTTCTTGTGCAATTGTGAGATATGAAAATATTTTATAGAGCACAAATGGTGTCTATAGCTGGTGATGGTGCCAAATATCCTTGGATGTGGACGATTGTGTTTGATTATGAATAGGACAAATATGATTTTGTCCAAATATGAATAAGATGGATACATACCTTATCATTTGATGTGATATGCTACTATCTTATGAAAGTCACGAAAGTGATAAATTGCAAACGATTGGAGATTAATATGCTTAGTCTCATTCGTTGTTGAATTGGACTTTAGTCGTGAAACCAAGTGAGTTGGTTTGTGCTTGAAAGCATTAACGGTCTATGAGATGACATTGATCAAATTGAAGATAGTCGGTTTGAAGTATATTGTAACTTAACAACCACTATCAGAAAGTACTTAAACTTTCACGGACATTATCACAAGTGATAAATGAATTGAACTATGAAAGAGTTAATGAACTCTAAATTCAAGTATAATCCCAAATGTGGGGACTATTATGTTGATAGGCTCTAAAATAACCCAAAATGCGAGGGTTAACATTAAATACTAGTGAACTTATATAAGAAATTCAAAATTTGCGGATGCAATACTAATATATTGCATAAGAATTCCTAACTGAGGAATTGTGGAGGTAACTTAATATAAAAGTTAGAGTTCCCTAAACCTTTTAATCATAGAAATATACCTATGAAGGAGTAAAGGTAAAGAAGCCCTTATAATCAAAAGGAGAATATTCATACAGTTGAAGATCATTGTAATGCTTCAACAATAAGAAGTGAATACCCATGTGCGAAATTCACAAAATTAAAGGGATGGACTAGTGTAATAATTGATAGAAATCTTTCAACCATGTTTGGATATAAATAAAGCGGATGAGAAGCATGTGGCTTCATAAAAGATTTCTTAACAGTGACAAGTTATATCTATCAAATGAATCGATAGTTGGCTAACTATGTTTGATAAGATACTAAGTAACAGATAATGAAAGTCTGGACATATGAGTCTTAGACATGACTTCGCAAAGGAAATTATAAAAGATGAAATAATTTTGGTAGAGAATTTAGTGGATCCTTAAACTAGACCACTAAATAAAGATTTAGTGGCGACTATTTCGAGTAAGATGGGGTTGAAATTCTTAAATTATAAAGGTCCACCAATGACGGTAACGCTACCTGTCATTACTTAAAAGGTAATTCACGGGTTCAAAGGGTAATAACAAGTCATTCGATGAGTGGATAATTGCAGCATTATTAAAATCCTGCAATAATCATATCTTAATTTAAATAATGCTAGTTGTTACTGAAGTGAAGGTTGATCATTAAATCTCGTAATGAAGTTCAGTACTAAAACATAAGTATCTCTAAAGATAACAAATGTACTGGAAGAACTTCACCTAAGCGAACTTCGAGATGGTGTCGTCTCAATAGAGAGTTGGAGTTTCTCTCTTACAAGTTTGTTGAATAGGATTAGCCCAATGCCATAAAAGCACTAAGCGAGTTGAGGAACTTGAGAACACATGGTACTCGTGTGTGTGTTCTAACCGGTATTGTTTTATGGAATAACTAGTTCAAAGCTACAGCTACCTTTGATTCCGACTTTACTTTGTTTAAATTACACTATGATTAGATTCAAATCGAAAGATATCTAATCCTTATGCATAGGTATCGTATACTTTGAATATGAGATCTTATTGAATATTGAACAAGTGGGGGATTATTGTATATTTTTCTACAATAAACAAGAATCGAACGTGGGATGAAAAGAAAACGAATAGCCAAAACATTGGCCTTGGCCTATCAACCGCATCGCCGTGTGCAGAAAAACTAAAGGCTAGGATATGTCTCACCATGCAAACGCATGGATTTGTACCATGTGGTCGCATGGTGCAGAAAAGTGACCATTGGAGGTTGTTTCCATTAGTTTCTTGGCATTTTTTGGGATGTTTTTAGTAACTTTTCAGCACGATTTTGGCACCAATTCGTGGCATTGATTGAAAGGCTATATATAGGCCATGGATGATCAATGAAAATATGTTGAAAATTATATTGAATTCACATAGCAAATGCTTGAGAAACATTCTTCATTCCACAAGAAAAGGAAAATCCTTTCTTCTTCCATTTTCAAATAATTCATTCTTTGTGTTCTTCAAGTTTAGGTGGAAAATCATTTGTGCTTTTGTAATTTTCTATAACAAGGCTTGATCAATTATTCAAATCATTTGCCGCGAGACCCTTTAAGCACCAAAATTGTTACCAAAAGGGTGCAAATATCGTTTGAGGATAACAATATAATGTCGTGTTTGAGCATTTCATATTTGATTTTTTCTTCATTTTTATTTCATTTTCTTAATACACTTCTATGTTGTTTCTTCTCCAACCCCGGTGGCAATAATTTCCCGGATGAGCATGAAGTCAACCACATTGGAACTTTATCACATTTTGAATGAAAATCACGTGGTTGGGTCTTCGTCGTGGTTGGTAAGGGGCAGTGGGGACCACATATTACCACATGTCATCTTCATGTGTATCAATAGTTATATAACTAAAAGTTCATTAAGATGTAATCACCTCGGCATGCAACACTTCTTGCATATGAAGTTGACTAAAGGAAGCCACATTCGAGAAAGCTAGATAATGTTTAGATTGGGCTTTTGGTAGAACATTCAATTTGTACAATTTGTAAAAATCATGGCAAAGGTATGAAGCAACCACTATCTTCTCGGACTAACGTTTTCACTATGATAATAAGGAGAAGCTCCTTGGCAAGACACTTGACGTCAGGGGCGAATCTAGGATTTTAAATCAGTCTACAATAAAATATTACGAGTCAGTTTGATGCTCTTTTTTTCCCTTTTTTTTTTTGCAAAAAATACATTTTGGAATAGTGATTTGATGGAGAAAGTGTTATTAAAAATAAAGAATAAATTTGAATTTGTGTGTAATATTATTTTATTGAAGAATGTGTGTTTGAAAAAAAGAAAAAAGAAAAAATGTATTTTGAAAAAAAAATACAAAAATGAAACATGGCCTAAATTTTAAATATAACGATTATTTTGTTCAAAATGAACATATATAATTTTGTTATACATATTAACAGTATTTACCAAATGATATTGTGGCCGAGTTTTGCATAATTTAAATGAAGAGCAATCTTTACATCATTTGAAAAATAATTCATAGTAATTCAAGTCATATTTTTAGATACCCATTTTTGCAATTTCATTCTCATCTACATACCCAAAAAATCACTATAACGAAGGAGGTAATATTCATTCGGCTAAAACTTAACATATATTATTCAATTCAACTAAATTTCGAAATTCAACAAGTGCCACAATGGTTTAGCTCTCCATAATGCTAAAGAGAGATGGCAGGTTTGAATCCTCTCTATATTTCATTAATTTTGGTAAAAATGGTAGAAATAAAAATATTGCACTAAAAATTGGTTTGGAGGAGAATTGAACTCCGGACTTTCAATGTGAATTGGCAACCTCCAACGAATTGAGCAACAAGAGATGAATGGAAATGAAATGAATTACCAGCTATATAAGTTAAAAAGTTTATCTATTGTTAACAACAAAAATGGCTCCCGACGGATCTCGCCAACCCTTGGATCCGTCTCTGCTTGACGTACATGACACTATAGACATTACGAGGAAAAAAAGTATGAAAGGCAACTCTTGCTTTCACTTTGGGATCCTTCATTGACTGCATCAAAACTCGGTAAAAAACAATCCACTCACTTTGAGCACATACACACACAATCATACTTATTAATGGACTCTGGTGCATTGTCTAGTTTTGTTAATTGTAATTTGATATATAGGGAGTGTTTGAGCCACATTATTTTGGTAATAATGCATTCTTGAATAGTATATTGATGAAAAATGTGTGGTTAAAAAATAAGAAAAAGTTTTTGATTTGTATGTAATATTATTTTATTGAAGAATGTGTGATTGAAATGATATCAAATCACTGTTTAAGAATACATTTTTTTTAATAATGTGGCTCAAACATGTCCATAGTTTGGGTTGTTATCCTCAATTCTCACTGTTGCAACTCCTTTGTGTTAAAAGTAACATATCTTGTTCTTGCTAATTTTATCAAAACCCTATAAAATGCTAACCCAATGATTGTGTGCTTATATAAATTGACATCACTGGTGGAAAGCATCAAGAAGAGAATAAGGTATAGCATGACCTCCCAATAATTAAAATTAGAAGAGCAATATAATTTCTAAAGGAGCGTCATTTTTGTCAATTCCAAATGAATAATGTCATCGTATAATTTATTAGAAATCCTATTCAGGAAATTCATTATTTTATTTGCCACTTGATTGACTAATTTTAGAGATCACAGAACGAGCATTTTATCTATTTTCTTAAATTTACACGTAAAGAAAAAAAAAGTATCTAGGTCAATGACATATGAATTATTTATAAGGATATTAAGAGGGGTGAGTTGCTCATCGGCTCAGCTCACCCTACAACTCGGCTCATGTTCGAGTGAGACTCACCAACCGATGAGTAATTTTCAGTAAAAAAATTTGCGAGCCACCAAGAAGAGAGTTGGTGGAGTGCGAGCTGAGTTGGAATTCTTGGAAACTAGCCAGCACGCTCGACTCATCCTATTTCGGAGTAGCTCGATTCAATTAATTTAACATCCTGCCTATTTGTTAGTTTATTCCTTAATTAGAACATACAAAACATAGTGCCCCCAAACGTTGCATACGCTATATACACCAATGAGAGTCTCATTTAATTAAAAGAGATTAAAATTATTTGTTGAAAAAAAATAAATAATAATAATAACAACAACATATAATACGTCGCTGATGGGGCACGCATTTTTAGTGTTTTCTAAGGTAACAAACAGGACTAGTAACAGTCCCCGAATTCACATTCCCCACCAACAAATACTCCTCGCAAGTATTTATTCTTAGAAGTATATCTAGATTCCATTTTCACACAAGCAAATATTGACTATAGTCTCCGAAGTCTCTCACATAAAATTCTGTAGCTACCCAAAATTCTAGGGTTAGCCGTAATGTTCTCTTAATCCTCATCATCTACTGGTAATCTTTTTTCTACATCCCAGATTTTTTCTTATTCGAACTTCATGATTTATTTATCGTTGCATTTGTATAATTTTATGTGTTTAAATGTTTGTTTGTGTTTGTATTAAATTTTCTGATCTGTTTTTTTTTTTTTTTATAATTATTCTTTTCAAGATGTTGTATAATGGAAAAAATTGGTCCTTGGCGCTGTTTGATTGGAATACTTTGAGAAATTTGATGGAAGTTTGAAGAATTTTTAGGAAGGTGATGTTTTTCCCCATATAATTGTGATTTCAAAAGGGTTGATTTCCTTTTGACTAAAAAAGACTCCTTTAAACTGATTAAATGCTGTACAAAATTGTGAAGCAGTTGAAGACGAGGTTCCATGGATGAGGGAAGAATGTATTACATGAACTGAGACGTTCATGGGTTGGGAGACTTAGTTGATTGTTTTGTCCAAAATANTTCCATGGATGAGGGAAGAATGTATTACATGAACTGAGACGTTCATGGGTTGGGAGACTTAGTTGATTGTTTTGTCCAAAATAAGTTCTATGGTAAAACCTCTATGTAATAATAATGTTGGACTGGAAAGAAAATTAGTGCTCTAGAAGGGTTATTAACTTATAGATAAATGAATAATTTATCAAATTATTGATACATTATATAAAGCCATTTCTAGTCGACGTTATAAAAATATTCGATGGATGCTAAGTATACCTCTTGAATTATTCATGTGAAAATGATACGATGATGGATTAGCCAATTGGAGAAGAAATTATTCAAAGTATTGAACATGCCAATTGAAGATGATCATAATTTAGATGATAGTTGTGTTATATTGTCCATTTTTCTGAAAGAAGTCTTTTAAGCATCGTACATTTAAATTTACTTTCTACAAAAAAAAATAATAATAATAATAAAAAAAATGTTTTATACGCAAAAAGTTATGGATGAGGTTTAGTTCAGTTTGAGGACAAAGAAAGAGCAAGCAATTTTAATGCATATTTTAAAAAAATAATGGATTAGAAAAATAGAGGTATTCTAAGTAAAAAGTTCCTTAATGTTGTAGAATGTTACATAATGATGAATGGATAGTTGGACTTATTTCAAAGTTTGTATGACTTTTCAATTTACCATAGAAGAATGTATTCTGTACAAATTGTAACTCTTATAGAAACCTTATATAGAAGTCATTGTCATAATAAATTTTGGCACTTAAGTTCTGACTTTCTCTACTATAATATATCCCTTCTCTTTTTTACTTTTTAAAAAAAAAAAAATTATAATATGTCAATTTTCTTTCTTTCTCTAACTTTAATATAATAATTAACATTAAATAAATTCTTATGCTTTAGCAAGATTACTAATTTAATACACTAGAGTTCGGGATCGAAATATTTTATTATTTAAGCACTGTTATTAATTTATTGAACGTTCATTTATCTAGGTTTTAATGTAGCGAGATATTTTTATTAAATGCTCGAGTTTTTTTTGTAAGATAAAAGGTGCGAAAGGTGGAGTAGGGCGCTATGCACATTTTGGTTTCGTTAAATTTGTATTCACTGTAAATTCTGTATAAGAAGGATCTGATGTTGGGAGTTCTTTTTATGCCATTGGGCATTGTGCAAATGATGTTTTATCAAATATTATGTTAGAAAGCATCAAGTATTCTAAGTTAATTGTTTGTACAATGATTTTTTTAATAAACTTGAATTTATACGATTTATTTTTTCATAAATAAAATATCATTTTTATTTTGAGAATAAAGAAAACTTGTTATTGCAGCATGGAGTACATGTCCTTAGCTAACACATTTAATTGATGTACACATGACTAAGTACTAAATCACGTGACAAGGAAAATAAAATAGGTCCTTACAGGCGCAACATTCGAGGTTCTTTGTAAGCGCTGATGATGCCCTATATGTAGATAGGCTCTCCCCTACGTTCTGCAGTTACAAAGTATCGCTATTAGCAATATATTACACAGCCATACTAATATACCCAAATGTTGGGGTTACTTTATTGATTTGCACTCTTATTAATTAGCAGTTTCATGTTCCTCTATTGATCAGATACTTTTATTTTGTGATATGATTTTATTATTGTTCTTGAGCTTGTTCTCTTGAGTCAATGCAATGCTGATATTCAAATAATATTTATGAAAATTATATTAGAAAGCACCAAATATTTTAAGTAAATTGTGTGGGTTATCATTTTTGAAGAACAACTCTATTTCTTTACTCATCTCATGTAAACTTTCTTAAATTCACAAGCATTTCCGTGAAGAAATTTCTTTTTATTTTGATAGTAGAACAATGAAAATTATTTAATGCAGCATAGACTGATTGAACGATTTGTGTCTAAACCCTTAGCTAATCAATACGTCCTCAGTCTTGTGTAAAGGCAAATAGAGAAATCAAATATTGACCTATAGGTGTAACATGCTTGGTTATTTGTTCTGAGCCAGCAGAACTCTACAAAGAACTTCTATATGTACATAGGCACTCTATATTCTACAGTTATAAAATATTAGGAATATATTATACTGCCATATAACACGCATACACTGTCTCTAATTTTTATATCCCAGTTCCATGTTTCCTCTCTTGCATGTATGTTGAGTTTTTGGATCAGCATCTTTCACTTTATTTTGCTTCTTGTGATATATGTTTTATCATTGTTCTAGAGTGAGGGCAATTGCTGGTATGCAGAATATGCTTCATGAAATTTTGGTTTGAGGACTCCAAGAATTCTTAATTGCTTGTGTGATCATTTTCAAAAAGAAAAAAAAAAGGGATTCTACTTCTTTATTTATCTACATTTTCTTAAATTCATAAACATTTTCATAATGAAAATTTGATTTCTATTTTGTTTCCGAAACTGAAAATTAATTTATGCACCATTGAGCACGTGTAAGGGGAAATTAACAAAATGTCGTACATGCAGCTTAAACCTTAAATGAAGTAACACGTTGGGGACACCTGTCAAGGAAACTAAAGTATGAATGTACTAGGGCTACCTTATAGGTGCTTCGTTAGTTGTCTCAGTAATACATTTACAAAAAACTGTGTATACACAGGCACTCTCCTATATTCTGCAGTTTCATCATTTTGCTCTATTGCTATTACCAGTAAATTACAGTTCGATTCAAAAATTCTCTCATGAACCCAAACTTTTGGGTGGTTTTAGTTATTGTCACTTCCTTTAACTGGTTAACTATTTTTCTATTTTTCGGAATTCTCTGTTTCCCCAATTCTGCTATTCCTTTTTTTGCATCTATTTTGAATTTTCTGATTTGGGCCTTTTATTTTATTTTTGCTTTACAAATGTGATATATGTTTGTCACCATTCTTGGAATTGTTTTCACTTTTAATGAGTAAAATTCTTGATACTCAATTATTGGAAAAGATCAGTTATTGGCACTGTTTGATTGGAAACATTGAAGTCTTTTGCGGTAATTCTGATGAAATGTGAACAATTTCTCGGGAAGGTGATGTTCTTTCGATGTAATTTTAAATGAGTTTATAGGCATATTTAATTGTGACTAGAAAAAGAAAAAAATAGGTATCATGTGATTTGCTGAATAATTTCTTTGGAAAAAAAATGATGTAATTAACAATATTGGAACACACAGATGAGGAAAGAAAAGACTGGAGGAATGAACTTATGCATCAAGTAAACTTCTACTTTCATTTCTTGGGGTGGGGTGGGGTGGGGGATAGAACACAGTATTCATTTTTTTTTCTAGGTTTGATGTTGATTTTCTACTATTTCTTATCCTTTTTTTTTTTTGTACAAAATTTATTGTACCATAGTTTCTTGTTTATATACTCTACTTTGGCTGGTATTTTATTTGCGTATTATAAGGTGTGAATAGAAGTGTAGGACTTATATTAGCACATCTTGGTTGAATTTAATTCAAATCGATGTTATCAAATTCTAAAGCAACTTTAATGAGCTTAATTCTGATATTGTCGTAGTCTGGTGTGTGTTTTTCCCCATATATTTCTGGGAAAATTTTGAGGTTATATGGTCTTGCAATATTTCTAAATTTTTCGTCAAGCTCATCGGCTAACCGGTTCCATTAAAGATAGTTTGTAATTCAAATGAAGCCTTTCATAGTAAGTAAACTTCTAGGGAGAAATATGTTTTTTTTTTTTTTTCTTTTTTTTTTTTTTGGGTCTGAAATTTGAGTTGCATGATTCTGAGTTCCCCCCACTGATTGGACTTTATATTGTCTGTGCCATCTGCAAGGACACGGCGTTCAGTTATTTGGAGAAACTAGGTAGCATGCAGTCCAACTGTAAGAGAGTCAATCCAGGAGAATCCAATCTTTATAATGTTTCAAAGCCAAGAGTACGTTCTGAACCATGGGGGAGTGATACTGGATATAAACCCTCCCCTGCTGCAATGATGCAAGGAAATACATCAGATTCATCATCGCTTGAACAATCTGTTGATGGTCAATCACAGTCTGAGGGCGGTATGAATGAGGAAGATGATGCTGCTGTCAAACAAACATCAAGTACTCTACCTCTGAACCCAGGTACCTTTACAGCATGCAACAAAGAAAACCCTGTGTACTTTTCATCGTGTTAATCCATGAACGATGTAACGAGACAAGCATAGCTACTAGGATCACAAATCTCAAGTTTGTCCATGAAGAGCAGATCTAATTGCATTAGTGTCTAAATTTGGTAAGTGCTACGAGATCTCATGCATTGGAACCCTTGGTTATAAACCCAAATCAAAGACAACTTTTTTTCCTTTTTGAAATGCTACCGATTAATTATTCTATGTAGAATTATTTTGGTTTGTTGTCGCACTTTTTAGTTGGGTTAAAAATGGAACCTGGACACTGGTGGAGTCGCTAATAGTAATTTTTACATCAATTTATTGGGTAAAATTGTGATGAAGCATTTAATTTCTTTCTTATTTTCTCCGATTATGAAATAATAGATAGAAATCATGGAGATGATGATCAGAATCAGTTTGCACCAACTGTACAGCCAAGGATCGAAAGCCTTGTGCAGCCCCCACAGCTTGAACTTGTTGGGCACTCAATTGTAAGAATGCTGCTATCCAATATAATATCTGGCATTAGTGAAGTTGTGTGATTTTGAAATTGAAACATTCCTTCTTCTTTTTTCCTCTTTATTTTGCGACTCTTTTTCAGGCATGTGCTTCAAATCCATACGATCCATATTATGGAGGAATGATGGCAGCCTATGGCCAACCTTTGGTATGTGCATGACTGTTATATCATCTTCTGGATTTCATTCTGTGTTTCTTATTTTCTTTTTCTTCATCATGAAAGTGTACCACATTTTTATTTAACTATTTGGAGGATTTCTTGAAATGTTAAACCTAGTCCACGCTAGTGAATACTTGAACTTCGGTTCTACCACGCTAGTGAATACTTGAACTTCGGTTCTATGGTATCTCATTAATACTCTTGTGGGGTTGAGGCTGTGTGAAGAATCATTATGGCTTTGTTGGTCATGTGCAACATCATAGAAATTATTGAATCAACATTTCGAATCGTGTTACCTTTTACGGAGTAGCTTGACGTTGAAGGATTCCGAGAGGGGACTGGAATGACATTGACGAATTCTAGCAATGAGTAATGCTTCGATCTTTTCTCTGTATTTAGATAGGCACCAGAAAAATTAATTAACATAATACTCTCGGGATGCTCTAAGTATCCCGCCCTTCTCATGTTGATTTTGTATACATTGGTTTAGATGGGACCTTCTGTGAAGGGCTTGGTATTATCTCGGTAATTAAAATTGTAGTTAAACAGTAATCTGAGTCCTCCTTTCATTTTTTAATCTAATAATTGTCTTCTTTTTTTTTTTTTTTTTTTAATCAGGTTCCTCCTCACTTATTTGACATGCATCCTGCAAGGATGCCATTGCCCCTGGAGATGGAGCAGGAGCCTGTTTATGTCAATGCCAAGCAGTACAATGGGATTCTGAGGAGAAGACAGATGCGTGCTAAAGCCGAGCTTGAAAAGAAATTGATAAAAGTTCGAAAGGTTAATTTACCAATATTTTGTATGGAAAAGTTACCCTCTGTAGGTTGTTGCATGTAAGGACTTGTCGAACAATGAAATGCGGAATCACACTGGGAACTTGAGCTTTCTTGTGTCGTTTTGGTGAGTAATATATGTTTTTATCAACTGACAGCCTTATCTTCATGAGTCTCGACACCAACATGCTTTGAGGAGGGCAAGAGGTTCAGGTGGGCGTTTTACAAAGAAGTCTGATGCAGCTACTTCAAATGGGGCAGATTCTGGTTCAACTGTCTCACCGCAATCTATCAATTCATCAGCTTCCAAAGCCTTGCCCCCTGAGTCTAATGAAGCAAACGTTCCCGCGGTTCAACATGCACACAACAATGATGTCCGCAATTTTAGAAATCAAACCAACAAGCAGGAGCAAGCATATCAGTCGACAGGGGAAGGTCATCCATCAGGCCAGCAGTGGGGAAACATCCCGTCCAACCGTGCATTTGCCATGAAGTAAACTGTTTACTGATTGATTTCGCAGATCTTGGCTTTCCCAAGCCAGTCGGCAATTCATTCTTGGCTGTTTCTTTTAGCTTGTGGAGAGGAGGGAAGATGAATGGACTCTGAATGTTTCAAATGCCAACTTTTTTTCTTCTGGTGTGCAAAATATGTCGTAGGATTAGAAGTTTGAGTAGGATGTCGAATCTTCGATGAGTAAAGAACCTTCTATGTTGCTAGAAATATGTAAAGTTGGTACGGGCATTTGCATTCTCTGAAATTTCGAGTGGAAAATTTGGCTTTTTTGTGGTTATCCTTTATAAACACTTAAATTGCACTTTATTCACATTTTGAAGGATGCATGGGTATTATTCACTTAGTATACGGTGTCCGTGTTTTTTCCATCGAGCCAACTCAAAGTGTGATGGGCCTGATTTTCCTGGGTCAATCTGGGCCTTATTTACTTGGGGATTTTATGGGCCTCCGTGCTGGTAAAGGCGCAGGCCCATTTTGACCTAACGTCATGATGCATTATTGTCCACATTCAATGAACCTGATGTAGACACTCGTATCCAAATTCACTTACCTTTCTTTTAATAGCAAGACCCACACGCTCTTCACTCACGCGCAAACATCTTCCAGTTTAATTTTTTATTAAAAATAATTTCATCTATACATTTAGTCCCTATTGTTTATGACTCTTTTACCAAGTCATCCTTAACCTATAAAACTGATAGAAGTAGTCCCCTACCTTTAGCAACTTTGCATACTTATTACAAAATGTGTCAGTTACGTTATTAAGCCCCTGTTTGGCCCCCATTACGGGGAAAATTTAATGTATAGAATAGTGTTTTTTGAAAAATGAGTGGTTGAAAAAGAAAGAAAAATTTTCGATTTACGTGTAATATTATTTTATGAAAGATTGTGTGGTTGAAAATAGGAGAGAGAAAAAGTAGAATGTAATGTAATGTAATTTAATGAAAATCAAACAAGGGCTAAATGACATTGTGAATTACACATCACTTAATTTTCTTTTGGTCAAAATGGTCACGGTCATTTCCCTCCAATATTCGAGGCATATATCAATGCTTACTTTTTAATCACTGAAATACGATCTTTAATGGATTTGATCCACTTTCACATTGTTCAACAAAATAACTATAAGTTAATCATGCTTTCACTTTGAGAAATGTGCGAGGAAAATATTGACATTGATATCTTAATTGTTGTGGCTAATTTATCGAATTCAAACTAAGAGAGAACTTTTGTTTAGAGACAAACATACAACTCAAATTTTTGATGGTGCACTTATTCATATTACCCTTTTTAACAGTGTTCATTATTAAATCTCTAATTTATAATTCTAATTAAAAAAAATTTATTTGTTGAAAAAATTGTCGTAATTTCGAAAGAAGAATGATCTAATCAACATGTTAAAATGGGTGAATTATGTAGAGGGTACTTAAATCGTTCCAAATTTTAGGGTATAATGATTGTGAGAATTGATTTTTTAATCGTTGGAAAGAAAAATTGATCCTACCTATAAGTAAAGAAGTAAAAAATGACTTCTGCAATAATAAAATAATGATCAAAAAATTAATTTTTTGAAAATGAAAAAATTGTTACCAGACGGAAGTTAAGTTTGCTAAACAAAACACCAATACTAACTCGTCAAAGGAGCGCGTGGTTCAAAAAAATCCAACAGAGCAGAAATAAGTCTCGTGCCAGGCACGTGACACAGCACTTGCCTGAGTCCTTCGAGTTCATCTTCATCACCGGTCTTTGCTACTCCATCGCCGCCACTTAAAACTCTTCTCTCCCTCTTGAAAGAGTGCACGATCTTCCTTTATCGTAAAGTCTAGCTCTCTTTTAATTGTCAGCTTTGTATTACACCGAAGATCTGTGTGAAATGACGACGTCGTTTGGGGCGGCTAACACAGCAATCGCCAAGGACCTGAATGTCCGTGTTGCGACAAGTTTTAATGGCTTGAAGCACACTTCGGATTCGCTTTTACTGAGTAAACGCCTGCACGTGCTCCCTTCTTTCTCGTCCTCCGAAGAGGGCTCCACTTCAATTATCAGAGCTGTTTCTACGGTAAAACTTTTGTTAATTTCATTTTCTCGGGTTTATGGAAACGTTGTTTTGTTTTCTCTTTTTCCGGTTGTGCTTTATTTTCCTTTTTCCTTTTTCTTTTTTTCTATTATTTTGTATGCAACACATTATTATGTGATCTTGTTGCTTAATTGAAAATGAAAAACTTGAACAAATGTATATATATTTCAAGCTACGTGGACAAGATTCTCTCTTTTGTGGAATTTGTTTAAGAAGCATCAAGTTAAAGGAGAAAATGCAACACAGGTTTACTCTTCCCTCCAGTGTCCCCTGAGCATGGGGAAGGGGCGTAAATGCAGAAATGGGGAGTGACAGGGACGGGGACGGCGTGGGGAATGGGTAGGGGTAGGGGTGAGGAGGAAGAAGAAGTTGAGATGAAGAATGAAGACTTTCAAAAGAAATTAGGCATTTTTCACTTTGGCCATTACAAGAGTGCTCTTTTGAAAAGTTCGCTCTCTTTCAGTGTGTGTGCGTGTTATTCTTCTCCCTTTAGTTTTATTACATCAGGAAAGTTTTTGGGAAATTTTTACTTGTACTGGTTTTATCCGTGAATATGAGCTATGTCGAAATGCTCAATAGTTACCCGTGGAACTGTCCAAGGCTGTGACCATTTTTTACTTTTTATTTTTTAAAATTGCTATGGTCACTTTAAAGTTACAAAGCTTTGTGGTGTGGACCACTCTAATTTCCATTTGTTATTAGTGTGGTTTAGCAAATGTGAAGTACTGTTCTTTTGCTAACTTCTATTCAAGTAACATGACTGTTAATATTGCAAAATTCTAATTATCATTTTAGGAAATGATGTGAATAATTAATATGACCTGATAATCACAGTGATGTTATTGCCTTTTATCTTCTAAGAATCAAAGAGCGCTACATGGTGCCATATTTAATATTTCAAGAACAACATGGTGCCATATTTAATATCTCAAGAACAACTTTCCAACTAAAATTATATTCAAGTAAAACCCTCTGTATTAATTTTTTGCTAATAGTCCACTTCCTCAATGTGAGATCTGCTCTTATGAATTGAATCACAGGCTGATGAAGCCCTCCCACCACACCTCCACCACTTCCCAAGTTTCTATGAGTTGCCAAAATGAGTATTTGTTAACAAAATCTTTAGAAATATCTTATCTTTCACCCCCAAAAGAAATGTTTTGCTTTTTATATGGATCCTGTCAAACTATTCCTACCCAAACAATAAATGCTTGATCAGCTAGAACTATAGATTCTTCAGTTTCTTCAGTTTCTCTTCTCATCAAAGTTGCATACCTATCTTCATCTTACTTACCAATGAAGAGTCACAGTTGCTTTTATCCATTTTTTTCATAGAACAATTGTGTCTGAATATTATATTGATATAATTTGTATACAAAGAACATTTTCTTGATTCTAATATCTCACTGCAGCCTGTGAAGCCGGGTACTTCTGCTGAGCCTAAACGTAGTAAGGTTGAAATCATCAAAGAGCATAGTAACTTTATAAGATATCCTCTCAACGAGGAGTTATTGACAGATGCCCCTAATATTAATGAGGCTGCTACACAATTAATCAAGTTTCATGGAAGCTATCAGCAGTACAACAGAGATGAACGAGGTACGAGGTCTTACTCATTTATGCTCCGTACAAAGAACCCATGTGGAAAGGTTTCAAACAAACTCTATAGGGTCATGGACGATCTAGCTGATGAGTTTGGGATAGGTACACTTCGTTTGACAACTAGGCAAACATTTCAGCTCCATGGTGTTTTGAAGAAAGACCTCAAGACAGTGATGAGTACTATCATAAAAAATATGGGCTCAACTCTTGGGGCATGTGGTGATTTGAATAGAAACGTTCTTGCTCCAGCAGCCCCTTACGCACAAAAAGACTATTTATTTGCTCAGAGAACTGCTGAAGATATTGCTGCACTCTTAACTCCTCAGTCGGGTTTTTACTATGATATGTGGGTGGATGGAGAAAAGATCCTGTCTGCAGAACCCCCTGAAGTAGTGAAGGCTCTCAATGATAATTCTCATGGTACAAATTTTCCTGATTCACAGGAGCCCATCTATGGAACTCAGTTCTTGCCGAGGAAGTTCAAAGTTGCAGTCACAGTGCCCACAGATAACTCGGTGGACATTTTCACAAATGACATTGGTGTTGTTGTTGTGTCTGATGCTGATGGAGAGCCTCAGGGCTTTAACATATATGTAAGTGGTTGGCTATTGTGTTAGAAACTATTTTCTTCTTCTATTCTTTTCAGAATCTATAATATTTAGTCATCTACTAAATTAAATGCAGGTTGGTGGAGGTATGGGAAGGACACATAGAATAGAAACAACTTTTCCCCGTCTAGCAGAGCCATTGGGATATGTGCCAAAAGAGGATATATTGTATGCAGTGAAGGCTATTGTTGTTACGCAAAGAGAAAACGGGAGAAGAGATGATCGCAAGTACAGCAGAATGAAATACTTACTCAGCTCTTGGGGAATTGAAAAATTCCGAACAGTTGTTGAGCAATATTACGGAAAGAAGTTTGAACCTTGCCACGAGTTACCTGAGTGGGAATTCAAGAGTTACTTGGGATGGCATGAGCAGGTTTGTTATATGACATTTGAAGTTAATTTGTAACAGTTAGGTTTCAAGATTTTTATAATCTTGATCTGTTGTTTCAACATGACATTTACATAGATTTTAACTTTTGGAAAACTGTTCCACAATACTCTTTATCCAACTGTTGCTATATTTTTTGGCAGGGAGATGGTGGTTTATTTTGTGGTCTCCATGTTGATAATGGCCGAGTCAAGGGGACTATGAAAAAGACACTAAGGGAAATAATTGAGAAGTATAATTTGAATGTGCGTATCACACCAAACCAGAATATCATCTTGTGTGATATCCGGCAAGCATGGAAGCGCCAAATCACTACAGCTCTTGCTCAGGGTGGCTTGCTCGTAAGTTGTTATTATAACTATATCTGCTCCTTTAGAAAACGGTGTATTCACTTTTTCTTTAAATATTTTTTAACATGATTGTATAATGCAGCAATGCCATTGCGTTTCCCCTTTTTGTTGAAAGACAGTTTCAAAACATATTAACTAGGGGGTACCGTATTTTCTGTTTCTGGAAAACATTTAACGACCTTATTCCCTTTGTTTAGAGTTTCCAAATGCATATGTGGCTACATTTAAATTCATAAATAAATGTGCTTCGATCACCAGAATATTTCTGAGATATGAAGAGTCAAGTCTATCAATTGCAGTGTCTAACCTGGCTTATGCATGTAATTAAGTTATAATGTCTCAGAATTGCTTTCATTTTCAGATTGCATTGTAAATTCTCTTCCATTCAGAAGCATGCATATAACAAAAAAATTTAGTTTATGCTTATTAAGCCCATATTTGGGCTCCACTGAAATTGAATTTTGGGGAAAAATGTATTTTGGAATGGTGATTTTTTGGAGAATATGTAGTTAAAAAAGAAGATGTGTAATTAATTGAAAATAAGAAAGAGAAAAATGCAATTTTCAAAAATGGAGCTCAAACAGGAGCTAAGTTTCTTCATTTTGTTAAATATTTATACGAGGAAAGATGTAATTAGTTAATGAAACTTCTTGCTCACAAGAAAATTGTCTTTTCAACTGGCTGAGATTTTTGTGTATATTTGAACTTCTATCATAAACTTCAAATTGTAGGGAATGTTTATGTTAAAGTTCATAATTATTTGTATTTGTTTCAAAATGCTCTCTGAATTTTGGGAGGTCTATTAACCTATTATCTGCTTGAACAGCAACCAAGCTATGTAGAGCCTCTCAACTTGACAGCTATGGCATGTCCAGCTTTTCCACTTTGCCCTCTTGCAATTACAGAAGCTGAACGGGGAATTCCCGACATCCTTAAGCGAGTTCGAGCTTTATTCGAGAAGGTGTGGCTTTTTAGCTACCTTTTCCTCCCCCTTTTTTTTTTTTTTTTTTTTGCCCTCTGGAATGCATGGAAAGATGATACTTCCTAGTGCTCAAATTAAAGAATAGGAAAGAGGCTTGATGCGCTTGGTGTTTTCCTTTCAGATTGGGCTCAAGTATAGTGAATCCATAGTAATAAGGGTAACTGGTTGCCCGAACGGTTGTGCTAGACCTTACATGGCTGAACTCGGCTTGGTGGGTGATGGTCCAAATAGTTATCAGGTAGTTTAAGTGCTTTTTGTTTTTTCTTGATTCCCTTTGGAACATTTTGTATCATGGGATACGACTTCTGATTTCTGCATCTCTTATTTAAAACCAAAAGATGTGTCAAATCTGACTGATTGCATTTGCATTGTTGAACAAGATTTGGCTTGGTGGAACACCGAACCAAACCTCATTAGCAAAACCGTTCAAAGATAAGGTCAAGCTTCAGGATCTTGAGAAAGTTCTGGAACCTGTGTTCTATTACTGGAAACACAGAAGGCTATCTAAAGAATCATTCGGTGACTTCACAATCCGTACGGTAAGTCATATTATAAATGCTACAAAACAATTTTTTTACTTTAATCCATTTCAAAGTAGCCCTAAAGCTGGTAACCTCAAATTAGTTCTGCTCCTGCAAGGAGCTAACATAACCCTTTTTCTTTTTTCTTGGGGGCCAGGGTACGGAGAAACTTCAGGAGCTTGTGGATAAATGGGAGGGTATACCACAGGCAGCATCACACTATAACTTGAATCTTTTTGCTGACAAAGAGACATATGAAGCCATAGATTCTCTTGCAAAACTGCAAGATAAGAGCCCCCATCAGTTGGCTATGGAAATCATCAGTAATTTTGTTGCCTCCCACCAAAATGGGAAAATTGAGTGAGCTAACCCATGGAGGAGGAGTAATCAATATCAGATGCATGTCCCTTTCTGAGCTCTACTTATTGGTTGGTAATAACTATAAATGGTTGAGTGTGCGTTGTCATGCTGGTTGTAGCTTTTGATTGTTTTGCTCATTTATTAGCCTCATTTTCTCATTCAGTTTTCTTGAGTTCGAATGGAATGTGCTCTTTACTAGAATTGAGTAGAATTTGAATAACTGGATTTTTCTGGCTTCCATGTGTTTGCTTGCTCCTGCTGTAGGGAACTTCTACGATCAACTGTTGTATGTGTTATGAGGCTTTTGAAAATAAAGAAATTCTACTCTTTTTTATCAACTCTATGTTTACTTGTAATGGCATCAGTCTTTGCGGCCTACGGGAACCCTCTGTGTTCTGATGCGTGTGGGTCGGGGAGAGGGGTTGAAGGTGGCATTAGTAACTCTCTACTTTTCGAGACCAAAAACATGAAAGTAAATAAGTAACATTTGCACTTAGCCCAACATACTCTGGTAGTTCATAATAATTGATTCTTTGCGCTGAAATTAAAGCAGTTGATCAAAGGACAAGCATAAAGTTGGATGCTTATAATACTTGAGAGATATTAGACAAAGAGATTGGCAATTCCTGTTCTCAGTTGCGACAAATGCGTGCAGTAGGATTAGTAACACAAACAGGTGCATACTTCTTTTTAGCATCCAGGGAGCCCCTTTTGGGCTCATCCGCCATGGCAACTTTGGCAATGGAGCATGTAGCAGCAGCAGCCACTGCAAACATCAAGTCCCTTCTGGTGCTGCTTTTATTCTCTTCCACCATCCTTCCATTATGGGAATCTTTGGAGGCCTTAACCACCACCATGCCACAGCGGGTGGTGGTGCTTGGGAGCTGTTTGGTGGTGGCTGCTGCGGCTGAGCCACCCAAGAATGAGGCTGTCATTATCATGGAGGCCATTGTTTGAAGCTTGGATGATTAAAAAAATTGAGTCTGTTTTGTGCACAAGAATGAGGCCAAGTTACTTTTGTTGGTTAGAAATGTCATGGGCAACAACAAACAGATTTGATCCATTTTCTTATCCAATTAGAGATGTGCACCAACAATTTGCTGCCATGTGTGGATCTCTATCTTGCCATGAAAATTGGTGGTTCTAAGGCCTTGTGGTGGAGGCTTGAATTTAGTCCTTGTGGTGGTTCCTTTTCCTTTTAGTCCTTGATATGAATTTTGGCTGTTAAAAGTAAAATAAATTAAGAAATTATTATTTTACTATTTATACATTTTTCCTGCATTTCACAAAAATACAAATAAAAATATGAATGAAAGCTCAATTGTGTGAAAGGCCTCATTGTTTCACGAATTAAACTATAGTTGAGTTGGGGGCAATATTATGTGCGTTTGTTTGGGCTAATCTTAAAAGGGATATTAGGAGTAAAAAAGCCCAATAATAGGCACCTTTCCCCTCTCCTCTCTATTTTTGGCTAACTAAAAATAGATATACTAAAGCTGTTTGGGACCCATTTTGATATGATTTTGGGAAAAAAAATATATTTTGGAATGGTGATTTTTTGAAGAATGTATAATTAAAAGATACGAGAAAGTTTTGGATTTACATGTAATATTATTTTATTGAAAAATGTATCGTTAAAAATAAAAAAATAAAAAAATGTATTTTTAGGATAATAGAATCAAAAGGGAGCGTGGATGGCAATGGGGCAGGAGAGTAGCCATTACCATCCATGCCCTGCTAGGAATTTTATTGCAGCACCCTCTAATTATTTTTTAAAATTCCAATTAAATTAAAAAAAAAATTGAAGACGAGTTCGAAAAATTCTAGACTGGAACGATGTTTTCCTCGTCCCGTTTACGTTTCATCAACAGGTGGAGCAAAGTGAGAGTGATGTCAAAAATTTTGACATTCATGCATATGGTTATCCATAATGAACAAGTGGGTTAAAAAAATATTGACTTGATTAATTTGAACAATATTTTATTAATTACAACCGAAAGAATAACGTAGTTTACTTACCTACATTAAAAAAAATAATAATAAATAAATAATAATAATAATAATAATAATAATAATAATAAAATCTTGAACAAGATTTCAAATATCCAACTCTAAACCGAACCCTAATTGTTAATATGAAATTAAAGTTTAAAAGTTTGCATAAATATGAATAAAATAAAACAGAAAGGAAATACAAATCCGATTAGAATTATATCTTCCTATCTAACTACTCGCAATAGAAATTCAATCCTCCTCAAACTTCAGTTAGGGTCCTCCATCCCTTTAAGATCGTAATCAAACTCCATGTATCCCTTCATCTCAATTTGTTTACAGTTGCATCTGCTTCACTTTATATATGAATTCGAGCCGAGTTCTTAGAATTGGAATAAGTTTTGCAAAACCTTCAACCTAATTCATTTTGTCCACTCATCTTTATTTGTTTCTGGTTTTCTGCTTCTCTTTATATGTTTTCTTCGTGTTTTCCATAAAGGATTCTTTAACATACATCAAGTTTGATGATTCAAGAGTATTGCCAAATTGATTGGAAAAGATGCAGAGATGAAGAACCAAGCCTCAAAATCAAGTCTGAAATCAATGAAGATGATCTGCATTAGTTCAAGATTGGGTTCTTGTACAACTCTTGATTCAATCTTGATCGCCATGGAAGGGTTATACAACGGGATTTTTCTTTAATCAGTTTTATAAAGAAATTCATTTTTTGATCATGAATTCAATAGGGTTTCTGATGCAGCAAAAACTAGGGTTTAATGAATCTGATATTTCAGAGGTGTCACCATGCAATCGTTATGTACATTACAAGAAACTCTTGGGAAGAGGGGCATTCAAAGATGTCTACAGAGGATTCGATCTGGTTAGTAATATGGAGATTGTGTGGTGTCAAATTTGTATTGACGATGAAAATACGATAAAGTCTATGGAAAACGAAGAAAAATTGTGTTTTGAGGCTGTTTTATTGAAGTCATTGAGTCATAAAAACATCATGAAGTGTTACTCCTATTGGGTTGATAGGAAGAACAATACAATGAATATGATTACTGAATTATTCAGTTCGGGGAGTTTAAGGCATTACAGACAAAGAAACAGCAATATTGATGTGCAAGCAATCAAGAACTGGGGGAGACAGATTTTACAAGGGTTGCAGTATCTCCACAGCCAAAACCCACGTATTATTCATCGTGATTTGAAGGGTGACAACATCTTTATCAACACGACTACTGGAGAAGTAAAAATTGGAGATTTCGGTTTGGCAACTTTTATGCAAGAAGGCCCCCTTCGCACTGTTGTTGGAACCCCAGAATATATGGCACCAGAATATTATGATGAGGAGTATAACGAGTTAGTTGATATCTATGCTTTTGGGATGTGTTTGCTGGAATTAGCCACTTCTGAATATCCCTACAGTGAATGCACAAATCCAGCACAGATTTTCAAGAAAGTCACTGCTGGGATAAAGCCTCTTGCTCTTGGTAAAGTTAAGGATCCTGAGGTGAAGGAGATTATTGAAGAATGCCTAGTTTCTGCATCCAGTAGGCCATCAGCTGTGGACCTTTTGAAGAATCCATTCTTCTTGCCCGAAAATCCAATGGAAATTGAAATAGAACGAGATAATGATGCACAACTTATAAGTTCTTGCCCGATAAGCACTTCTGCTGAATCTGCTTTATCAGTTGAACAGGAGATGGTTCAATCACCCATGGCTTTCACAGGCGATTCGATAAGTAGCTCATTTTCAGTTGAAAAGCTGTTTCTATACTCGGAGTCGAACAATTGCAGGCAACAATCGATTTTCTCCCTGACTAGAGCAACCTCCTCTCATTTTGAATCTTCCATGAGTGAACTGTCTATGAATTCAAAGGTTACCTTCGACTATTCCTCGGGAGAAGCATTCAGTGATCATGGCTTTTTTATATCTACACCGACTGTCAGCAAAGACGCAAGATAGAGGCTAGGAAGTAGATTTAGAATGGAGAGTAGGGTAATAAGAACTGTAGTAGGAATTTATTAGAAGAACTCATCTCTTATCTTTTTTAATATAATGAAGTTTTCTTTTTGTACAATTTATTGTAGTTTCCTAAAGGTGCAATTTTATTTATTTATTTATTTATTTTTTAACAAATTCAATAACAAAGAGTGGTCACACAAAAGCTTCATTCAAGCTTTAACTGGCGGATTTATGAACAATCATATTCTCGTTTCTCAAGCCATAAGAGTAAAATCAGGCTAAACAGTTTGCTATACAGTTATAAAGTTATCAAAGAAGATATGAACCTCCTCTCTCTTCTAATTTCATTGAAATTCATTATATATAAGCCACAATGGTATATTACTAGTATCATTTATAAATGGAATTTAAACAGGGCTGAAAAATGGAAAGATCCCGTGAGTCTAGTCATACCATTCCATTATATTGACAAAGCAAAATTAGCGTGTTTCATACATAATATTAGACTGGACTGTAGTTGCTACCGTACCAAACAAGCGATAAAGGTGTTGATCCACAATAGTGATTCAGCATCCTCTTATGAATGATTTTCACTTGGAGGTAATAGGGGGCTTAAAGAAGTTCTTCTCCTTCAAGCTTTCAACAGTTTCTTTGATGCTTTCTTCAAGAGGTGTGAATTCCAAACCCAGGCTCTTTGCTCTTTCCTTGGATACATTGTACATTGCTATATATGGCTTTTCATCCGCACACCTGCAAAGTTGGTTCTAAGTGACAATATCTTTTAAGAGAAGGAAAAAGAAATTGCACGAGGAGACAATACTCTCAACAAATCTTGCTGCAGTCGAGGTGTTGAACAACCTTATCTAAAAGCTTAAATTATTAGACAGTGGACAAATTTTTGTCTAATTGTTATCTTCACAGCAGGCTAAATTCATTCAATGGTCTGGCGCCTGACAATTTTTATAACCTTTGTGAGATTGAAACGCTACAGCATTTTCTCAGTGCACATTTGAAATAAGAGTCTATACTGGTGATTTTAAATTATCATCTAACTAAATTACTGGATGTGTGAAATTTTGCTCATTAAACATAATTATTCTCATAATCGGAGAATGGATTCAACAGAACCAAAGATAATGTATATTTTACATAAAGTTAGGGTGGACACATGAATTTATTTCATATTACTGTATAGAAATATACACATAGAAAAGCTTACTTTTTCGGAAGTTGAAGATCGGGATAGAGCTCAGTCAATATCTTCACGATATCAGAATAGTGTGCAACTCTCTCAACAATACAATATCTTCCATTAGCCGAAGGATTCTCAAATGCCAGAACATGTGCATTGGCAATATCCTTAACATGAACCCATCCAAAGGCAGAATTTGGGTATGTTTCTCCACCTGCATAAGATTTTTGTGCAGAAAATGAGAAATCGAATATTTCCAGAAAATTAGAACATAGAAGAACTTGTAAACGAATAAAGTATCCTACTAGCAAATGAAATATACCAGTTAGTAAGCCCAAAATTTTAGTAGCACTCGTATTAAGTGTTGGCTGCAATAAAGGACCAATAACCATTGCTGGGTTTATCACAACCATGTCAATGCCCTTCTCCTTTACAAATTTCCAGGCAGCATCTTCAGCTAATGTCTTTGAAAGGATATACCAGAGCTGGTGAAAAAACAAGATAAAGTGAAAGAAAATAACATGAGAAAATGTTTAGTACCATAACTTTAAATCTTATGTGTGGTTCGAAGGATGGGATAGTGGAGGACTTAGCCCCTGTTTGTTTTTCATTATATGTCCATTAAAATGAAAAATATGATCATTATCTATCACATCGAGCCGCCATATTTGACTTTATATCTCTTGTGTGGGGTCCGTAACGGTTATATTTTTCATCCTCATTCTTACATTAATGTGGCTCAAATGGGACCTTAATAATGGAAGAAGAAGAAGATGCTAAAAAATCTGTGCGTTATACTGCCTGTCCTGTCTAATGCTACGTAGCAAATAGGCTTCAAGTTTCATGCTGAAGTAGTTAAACAAAGGATTCTATTATGAAATAATCCCTCTAAAAAAGAAAGGACGAATAATAATGCTCACACACTTTATTTTCTCTGCAAAAATCTGGGTTCGACCACCAAGTCTCATCGACTACAACTTCAGGAGTTTGAGGACGACCATCAAATGCAACTGCAGCGATAGAAGATGTCAAAATCACTCTTTTCACAGATGGTGTTCTAGAACATGATCCGAGAATGTTAAGAGTCCCCTTTAGAGCAGGATCGATTAATTCTACCTGAACAAATGAAGGAACAAAATTGAGTCATTAATAGTTTGTATGTATTGATATGGCTCATATTACAATGTCCAAGATATTGACAAAAGATGTTTGAGAAAAAGAAAACTGAAGGAGGTTCAAAACGGACAAGAAGTTAGAAAGCCTATACGAATATATTCGTGGAAGCTAGACTGACTCGATTGTATACTGGCAAGAGTAATGTTATTTAGATACACTGGTGTTAAAACATCAGGTTATGTGGTACTAAATGAGAGATTTAATTAAATAAATAACTTAATTTTATCTTTTATTGTGTCTATCACTTAACGTCACCTAGACAGGTATTATAGAGCATAACTCGCATTGATTATGCCCAAGTTCCAATTTAGAGTGCATATAGGACTATTACTCATAATAGTCATCAGCACAATAAATTTTAGGTTTCTTTTTGTATCTTTCATTCCTTTTTGCTCAAATAATGCAGTTTAACACAACGAAAACCTGGAAACAAAAAATGTTATATGAACCTGTGGATCCGTGAATGAATCGATATATGGAGATGCTGTGTGGAAAACCCCCTCACAGCCATCTACTAGAGAATCAAACGAGCCTTCCTCCAATAGGTCGGCTTTCAACAA